ATTTATACTACCCAAACTAAAGATGAAGACACAAAATTCAGATTGCCAAATCCTCCAGATATTATTTGGGTTGATTGCGATGATGTTGTAATGATTATTGATCCGCCTGTCCCAATTGGAAAATCACACCGACAATTCAAAATCGATAAAGAGACTTTATATCGTATTTTGGAGAAGGTGGATAAGCGCCTCAGTAAGACATAGATCGTGACTTTTTCACCTTAATGTTAAGCAAACTTTGTTTCACGAATGTTAAATTCTGTTCATACTTTGAAAAATTGTTTAGGAATTTAAATGTTTATGAATTTATTTGATTTTTGTGTCAGATATGTTATTTATCAGAAATAAGTAGATGGTTAAGAGAAGGGCATAATAAATGAAACTGTTCGAAATCTACAAATTCGGGTAAACAGGTGTAAAAAATATTTTTACAAATTCAGTTGACATAATTTTAAATTCGGGATTTCGTTAAAATTATTTTTCATCAAATATGTTAGCTTTTGATATTGGATATATTTAAAAAAAAAATAAAAAAATTGGCATTATTAATCACGTTTGTGTTCAAATATTTAATATTGTTCTTTTTTAAACTGCTTTAAATAAATTTTTGTCAAACATAAATTTTGTTTCTTTTCTTGTTAGATAGGTTATATATTTGAAAGGCATTTTGTACCTAAGAAGCTTTAAAACGCCAAATAGTTCCATACATTTGTGGAATCTCACGTACCCCAATTACTTGATATGAGATGATTTTAAAACACCTGGGTTGTCTTTGAGTTCTTATAGCTAACAACAAAAGACTTTTATTTTGCAAAATTAAATTCTACTTGGAACCATAGTCTTTTGAGAATTTTTTAGAAGTATGTGAAACATTTATCTCATTTATCATTTTTCAGTGTGATTTATTAATTCGTCATTAAGAAAATTCAAGACTGTAATTAAGTCGTACATTATCAAATTCATTAAGTACATAGATGATTGTTACAGATGAGTGTAATGCTAACCAAATAAAAGACCTCCACAATTTTCATTTGTCATTTTGAATTTGGGCTATTTAAACGAGAATGTGTCTATAGGGTCCACAAGCTAAAAACACGATTTTCTGTACAATCAGGGGCCATAATTCAGTAAGTTACGATCCGATATGCGCGAATATTGAAAGGAGCTGATATCTTTGGGTTATAAACTTAAATATCAAGTTTCAACAAAATCGGATAACCAGCGGTTGCCAGGCAGGATACGCCCACATTTTGCAAGAGATGGATAGAGAAAATGCTAAACAAAGATAGGTTGCTAGGCAACGAAACATACGCCCACAGCAGCTAAATCGTCCGAGCGGTCGACAAGGGTTATCGCATATTTATTTTGTAGGTAATTGGGGGCCTTTACAAGACAGTTCCATACAGATCAGATTATAATTTTTGCCGTTTGAGAGTCCACAAGGTTCTACAAATTGAAACAAGGGTCTCAACTCTGGAAGTAATATACAGAAATTGTTGAAATTTGACAGGCTTTTTCGCTTCACAAATTTAAATGATGCATATAAATTTCATTTTGTAGGGCAGTTTCATTCGATTTTCCCGAAATTCCAATTCAACATTCATTATGGTGGAATAGTGATATAACTAAACATTTTTTTAAAATCGGAAAAAAATTGTGACCACTAGAGAATCCACAAGCTAAACATGGGTTGTAACTGTAAGGCAACGAAACATACGCCTACAGCAGCTAAATCATCTGAGACTTCGACAAGGGTTGTCACATATTTATTCCTTTGTAGGTAATTGGGGGCCTTTAAAAGACAGTTCCATACAGATCAGATTATAAATTTTGTCGTTTGAGGGTTTACAAGGTTCTACAAACTGAAACAAGGGTCTCAACTCTGGAAGTAATCTACAGAAATTGTTGAAATTTGACAGGCTTTTTCGTTTTACTAATTTAAATAATGCATATAAATTTCATACAGATCACATGATCACTTTTGTCATTCAAACATTCACAATGCCTAGTATAGGCCTATTTGTAATTTTTGCCATAGGTAGTTTGGTTACAGTGCTCAAATCATAGGGGTACTTGTCCAATCCAATGCTGGATAGCAAATCATCGGTGGACGTCATCTTGCAGGGCTCAGTCTCAGATTTAGAAAAAAAAAAACTAAGTCCGTCGATCAAAGCTTATGGCTACAGAATAATTAAATAAGATACTATGATTATGAAAGTAATTTACACCAAGCTACCGAAAAGTGTCTGGAAAATAAAGACTACCAATAAAAAGTTTGTTTCGTTTATTTTCCGGTCTCAAATAGTTCTGCGTATTTAGAGCTAGCAAATATTTATTTCCTAAAGTAAATAGAGTGCCATGTAAACGAAGGTTGTAACAACTAAATAAAAGAAAATCCCAAAATGTTGTAATGAGTTTATCTTGCCACGCTCATGGTTTTAAAAGTTAGAAATGAAACGAAGCTATTACAGCTAGCTCTGTACCGAAATCGCCAAAAACCCCAAAATCAAAAATTAAACCAAAGAGTTGTAATCAAAATTTTTGCTCACGTTTGCTATTAAATAAACACGAAAGTCGAAGTGCGTAATGAGTGTATTTTTACTTGGCTTTATATACCAATACATGTTTGTATATAATATCACGTGGAAAGCTATTTGTGACGTATATTTGTTGCGACCTCCAAAATCACGTGCGCGGGACTAAACATTGCTCACTTCAGAAAATATCCCTGATGATGCAATCAGACAGATAAGTGGGTCAGTTTTTATAAGGACAAAAATGTGAGTCTCTGAACCACTCTACCTTTACAAGACAGTTCCATACAGATCAGATTATAATTTTTCCCATTTCAGGGTTCACAAGGTTCTACAAACTGAAACAAGGGTCTCAAATCTGGAAGTAATCTACAGAAATTGTTGAAATTTGACAGGCTTTTTTTTTTTTACTAATTTAAATAATGCATATAAATTTCAAACAGATCAGATGATCACGTTTGTCATTCAAACGTTCACAAGGTTCACAATTGCCATAACTCTAGAAATTATTGACGGAAATTGCTGAAATTCAATAGACCTCTGTTTCACAAATTTAAATGATGCTTACAAATTTCATACATATCGGATGATAACTTTCATCAATCGAGCATTAACAAGGTTGAACAAAGTGAAACATGAGTCGACTTAATAAACAGAAAATGCTGAAATTCAATAGGCTTCCTGATTTCACTAATTTGAATAATGCATATAAATTTCACAAAGATCGGATGATAACTTTTGGCATTAGAGCGTTCACAAGGTTCAATAAAGTGAAACGAGCCATAATTCTAGATGTAATAATTTTATACAGATCGGCAGATAACTTTAGAGGTTAGAGCGTTCACAAAGTGCAACAAAGTGAAATAAGGGCCATAACTCTAGCCGTAATAAACGGATACTGATATTCAATAGGATTCTTCTTTTTACTAATTTAAATGACGCATGTAAACTTCATACAGATCGGCAGATAACTTTTGATGTTAGAGCGTTCACAAGGTTCAATAAAGTGAAACAAGGGCCATAACTCTAGACATAATAAAAGGAAATTGCTGAAATTCAATAGGATTCTTCATCTCACTAATGTAAACCACATAAGACAATCAAATAATAACTTTTGGAGTTAGAGCGTTCACAAGAAATTGTGGACAGACGGACAGACAGGGGCGACGGCAATATACGTCCACAATTCTATGTGGGCGTATAAAAATGCGATTTTTCGACCAATTAGGGGCCATAACCCAGGACGTTACATACGGATATGTGTGATTATCAAAAGGAACCAAGATCTTTATGATAAAAACATATATTTCGGATAAAAACTGTGGCCTCTAAGAGGGTCCACAACCTTGATATACCATATTTTTACACTATTTGCGTACAAAGGGCGGCCATTATGTCTGTCAGTTTTAGTCCGATTTTCACGAAATTCGAACTCAACCATCATTAGTGTATAACTATAACTGATATATTCAGATGTTTTGTTTTTTTTAAATCCGATAAAAATTGTGACCTCTATTGGGACCACAAGCTCAAAACGAGATTTTTCGTACAATCAAGGGATATTTTTTAGCAAGTTACAATCCGATATGCGCGAATATCGAAAGGAACCATGATCTTTGGGTTATAAACATGCATTTCAAGTTTTCATCAAAATCAGATCAAAATTGTGACCTCTAGGAGGTCCACAACCTTGATATACCAGATGTTTACACTATTTGCGTACAAGGGGCGGCCATTTTGTCCGACAGTTTTGGTCCGATTTTCACAAAATTCGAACTCAACCATCATTAGGGTGTAACGTTGATACACAAAAACATTTTTTTAAATCGGATAAAAATTTTGACCTCTCGAAGGATTACAAGCTAAAAACGCGATTTATCGTTCAATCAGGACCATAATTCTAGAAGTTACGATCCGATATGCGCAAATATCAAAAGTAAACAAGATATTTGGGTTATAAACATGCATTTCAAGTTTTATCAAAATCGGATCAAAATTGTGAGTAATTGTGACCTCTAGAGTGTCCACAAGCTAAAAACGTGATTTTTCGTACAATCAGGGGGCATAATCCATGAAGTTATGGTCCGATACATGCCAATATCGAAAAAAACCAAGATCTTTGGGAGACAGACCTATATTTCAAGTTTCGTCAAAATGGGATAAAAATTGTGACATGTAGAGTGACCACAAACACATTGTGGATGGACAGGGGCGACGACAATATACGTCCACAAGAAAAAGTAGGCCTATAAAAAAGGATGACATCATGGCTATGGTTTAACTTTGCTTATGCTGTGAAAAATGCAATACCTAGACACAAAACACAATTTTTTGAAAGCACTGACCTAATATTTCAAAAAGATAATATTGATACTTTTTAAATTCCATATTTTAGCTATAGTGTTTAAAATAAAACAACAGATTATCATTAACCCAAAAGGGATTAAATAATACTTTAGATTTTACCTTGAAGTGATTTCTGTGTTTGAATAAGATCGTAGTAACCTTTGACCTCTTGATTCTACTTGTTCAAAACTTTGTGTAGTTATTGCACTCAATGCATCTCTAAGTAAAGCAAGATCTCCTGATTTATTATCTCCATATATATACTCATCACATTCATAACTAAAATAAATGACCGTGCCAAAATTTAATGTGGTAAATAGTCAAAATGGTCTATAAATATCAAATCAATGTTTCCCCTAGCTACAATAGTGTACCTGCATCCTTCTTATCTGCGACTACAACTGATACACTATTTGAGGCTTTTGCGCAAGTAAAAGTAGGTTCAGTTGCAAATTTGCAACACATATCATCACAGTTTGCATGGAAATAAGTAATTATTTTACAAATAGCGAATAGTGGAACACTGAAATCTTAATCTATCTTACTGAACAGTTTTTCTGTATTTTCATGTGAGATGAAATCATGTGATTCTGATCTGGCAGCCATTTTAAAAGGAACATAAATTTCACATAGCCGTTGGGTTTTTAATCATATAATTATGCGGTAAGGTTTCAACTTTATTTCAATGGGAATTAGTTTATTACATAAGTTATGTACAGTACAGTTTGGGGTCAGTGTAATCGGAAATTAAGGGAGTTATAGGCCAGTAACTTTTTTGTAGGACAATCCACTACTGTGGCTGGTGCAAGACGGAAGACATCAGTAGTGGAGCCTGCGGAAATGCACTGCTGTTTTTATTAGAGGTAACCAGTATGTTAATAACAAGCCAATTGCCTACACATGAATATAAACAGTTCATATGGACGGCTTATCTGACGGCCCCATTTCACATGCAAAGAGACACACTGTCAAAAGTGAAAATGGACATTTTTGATTTTTGTCTTAATAATGAGTAATTGCTCCACCAGTCCTTAGACATTCAGCAATTTGACAAGGCGTGCTCCTAATCAACCGTCCAATCTGACCCACTTCTCTTGCAGTGCCACGGTCAATTTTTGCAGTGTTGCCAGTTGACGTCGACCAACACATCTCCCGATCATGTCCCAGACATGCTCCATAGGGGAAAGGTCAGGACTCATGGCTGGCCAAGGCATATGGACAATATGGTGACGCTGAGGAAGTCATTCACGACACGAGCGTGGTTGGCACGGGTATTATCATCTTGAAAGATGACACGTTGACCTGCACGTTGAGCAAAGGGCAGAACTATCAGAGCCAGGATGTGGTCACGGTAGTACGCACCAATGACCCTTCCTTGAACAATATGCAAGTCCGTTCTGCCAGTCACGGTGATTCCTCCCCACACCATAACAGACCCACGCCTGAATCTGTCATGCTGTCTGACGTTAACGTCAGCTTGACGCTCATTTACATGCCTCCAAACACGAGCATGCTATTGGTGAAATCCAGAGTAAATCTGGACTCAACTGAGAACATTACACGTGCCCATCGATGATTACCCCAATTTCTACGCTGCCTACACCATTGACGCCCGTTTGCCATGTGCTGGCGAGTTAATGGAGGCACAACACGCATGCAAATGGGCTGCATGTAGCTTATTTCTAATCGTTTGGGGTGTAACTCGAATTCCTGTAACTTGGTACAAGTTTACAGAAAGCTGATTCCTCGATTTCGCAGGACCTGTGTGTATGAATGTATCGATCCTGGGCTTGTGTATTGGCTCTAGGACTACAGTGGCCCAAATGCCATTGCACCAGGGATCCGCCTATTATGCTAATCAAAATATAAATCGCTTAATGACACGTGATGTGTATTTGCTTTTTTAACGTTATAAACAACAACTTCAAATATTCGCAGGTGGACGTCTGCGATAAGTTATAATGCAGCAGACATTAATACATGATCAAATCCACTGTGTGGTTTATAACAGCATTGGTTAAACAAGGCGCAATCGTGGCTGGTTGGGAGACAACATGTCTACGCATCATAGAACATTGTCTTGAAAGAATCGTGCAGTCAGGCTTGTTGGCTATTTTTACATTTGTAATACCGAGAGTTCAAAGAATGATTGGCAGCTTAGGTTCTTTTGAAGCCAATCACATACAAATTACTTGTGTTCTGTACTAACAACTCACAGCAATGTAAATTATGTGAGGTGATATTAACCATCGCCAAACATTTTAAGTCATAAGATAACGTCAATCAACAAGTGGTTACTTTTGATGTCACGTGCCAATTCACATTATGAAACCTTGATTGACAGTATGCATTCCCCAGACTCTTTGGTGCGGAAATGAAAAAGTCAGCATTATATTATCGCCTTTATCGGACTGGACTGATACGAGTTCATGCATTCAGCAAAGTGTGCTTAATATCAGGTGACGAAGACTTTTAATTCATTTGTGATTTAAACCAGAAAAGATATATTAGTTGAGGTGTGATTTACCAATAATGTATGCACCGTGTGACTTATTAGTCAATATGTGAATTACTATTTGGATGGATAAAACTACACCCCGGTAAGACCAGAATCAATTTGTGCGTATTTTATCATTTTTCCGTAATATGAATGAATTTGTAATAGTCGATTGACGCAAGTATTAAAAATATGGAACATATTATTATTAATTAAGTAATAACGTATAATTGGTATCTTTAGGCATATTCTGTTTAGAAGAAGAATGAATAGTAGAATTAGTACCTGGGGTTTCCCGAAAAATGTGTTTATTCCTGCTCCGATTTCGAACTAGCCGTCAAATATTCATGATTAATGGAAAAATGCCTACGTAGTAACTGATCTATAATAATTAAAGTGCTACACGTATTTCACCTAAAATAAACAACGAGAGGCATGTTTTAATTAAAACACAGAGTCATAACGTATTGGTATCTTTAGGCATATTCTGTTTAGAAGAAGAATGAATAGTACCCGGGGTTTAACGAAAAATGTGTTTATTCCTGCTCCAATTTCGAACTAGCCGTCAAATTTTCGTGATTAATGGGAAAATGCCAACGTAGATCTATAATAATTAAAGTGCTACATGTATTTCACCTAAAATAAAAGAAGAGAGGCATGTTTTAATTAAAACACCGAGTCATACCGTATTTTCAACACCGAGGCAGTGCTATCGTGTCACTCGATATTCACTCGATAAATCATGGAATTCCACGATAGAAAACACGGTAATATCGTGTTTCCTCAAACTTTCACGATCTCCGTACTGTACCTGAAAGAGGTCTATCATCAACATTGTGTGTTTGTTGGTACCAGTTCCACAGTGTGCTGATCACAGACTATGACACATTAAGCATGTTGGCCACTGCTCGCTGTGTAGAACCCATTTGAAGCATGCTAATAGCACGTAGACGTTCATCATGTTGAAGACGTCTCATTGCAAATTAAACGTAACACACTAAAGCAAAGATACGCTAAACAGTAAATCTTATGCAAGAACTGATGGGAAAGCAAACATGGATAGGATAAACCAGCACATTGCAGTTTTCATCAACCCTTCCTTGAAATGTCAAATTTGACAATGAACCCCTCCCATGTGTATGGCGCTATTGCGTGTCGCACTTGCAGCTCAGTGGTTCTGTTGCAGGCCTCGAAATGTTTAAAAAAAGCTACATGTCGCAAGCGACAGGTAGCTTTTCTTCATACCTGTCACTTCAGTAAATAACCTGTCACTCTCAATTATCAAAGACCAATACATGACACATATCCATACATGTAGGTACACAGACACGCTCTTAAATTGTTTATGTCTTGACGTACATTGCTCCATATAAACATTGTAATATGAAACCTTTTTATTTCTTCAACATAGAAATGCCAAAGAGTTCTTGAAAGTCGGCGAATCGGCTTTAGCTGAGTGACTTGAAGATTCGTACAATTCTATCATCTGTATCCACGCGAATTCTGCCAAGTATCATGGTACCAAATTTGCGTACTAAATCGAATACTTCGCCGTTGAGGTGTAGAATTCAGATTTTAAAATATCCGTAATACATTGATTATAAAAAAACACGAATCACACCTGTGCATGCTCCCGTATTTACATGTATGGCGTGCGGAGGGCAGGTAGCGCCCCCTGTAATTCCTTTCTCACATATCCTGTCTATATTTAGGCTACAAATTATATTTATATATGAAATATTTTCCCGATCTAATTATTTGATTTTGTAAATTTTCTTATAAATTATTCATAGCCTTTATTTATGGAAATTATTTTAAACTTTTTAAATGATTAAACACACCAGGCAATGAGCCGTGTGCATTTCCATTCCAACTACCACTATATTTACTGTGGTGGCGTTACGATAGAACTAGTTTAGATGACCTGGGGGTGCGTTTTAATTTATTTAGATATAATACTTCATATGCTATAAACTAGTGTCAAACAGAAGGAAACAAGCGTAGATGGTGTGAAATCCATTGTTATAAAATTGTCTACTTTCAAATTGTGTTAGTAACTGCTGCCTACGACAGAGCGAAATGTAAACAGTGCAAATGGCGGCTTTTCACGGTATTTCCGTGCTTAATTCTTGCATTTAGAAACGAATAATTAAATGTACGTGACGTGGACGTGAGTATTGTGGTCTTTAAGTCAATTTACTGAACATCAAGTAATATCTAGTCCACCTGTCGCAAGCAACAGGTAGTTTTACTTGCTACCTGTCAGACGAAAAAATCGCCTGTCGGTGACAAGTAGACAGGCGAACATTTTGAGCCATGTGTTGGGGCGATAAGTTCTTCATCTGTGAAAATACTCTCAAAGCATGTCAAGTGTCCATGACTATTTTTCATATCACAACCTGCATAGGTATTTGCATTTCAATATCCCCTACTTTTTTTGAAGAGTATATAATGTTAAGAGAAGAGCTTTATATTATAAGTATAAAGTGAAACTGTATTCATGAATTTTTATTAGTGTTGTCACGATTACAAAATTCTTGAATCGGATAATCGGCCAGCCAAAAAACGTATCGGTGCCGATTAATCGGATGCCGTATAAATTCTATAATGGCAATGTATGTACTGCGTTCTGATTTTTTTTTCTTGTGATTTTTTGTTGATAAGTAAATTATAAAATGACGCGTGACGACTGAATAGCTGATTGTATATTATTGTAGTACATTTCGTTGAGTTTGTGATAAAGAGATGTTGGAATAAATCGTTTAAATTGTTAATAAACAACATTTACAAAGTCATTAGTTTTGATACTTAGTTACGCGGATGAGCTGAGTAAGACATTCCTGTGTTCTGACTTACCCCTACAGCTTTAACTGCTAATTAAAAATCCAATACTGGTAATAGATTACAATTCACTAGTACAACGAATCCTGTATATAATATTTTAACATACAGCGATAATCATGTTGACGAAAAACAACAAGAGAAGCCGCAGAAGACGGTACAAATAGAAAAGAACATGTGTCATTTAAAAAAGTGACAACATTTGCCAAGGGGGGCGAATAGAAGATCCTCCTGACTCGTAATGTCAGGAACTCGTTTATTCATTGTTTCGTACACATTAACTGCACATTTTGATTGTGAATTAAATAATAAATTACAACTGGATTTAAAATTAATTTATACTGGATGAATTTCTGAGGGAATCTTTCCATTACATTGTTGGAGCATTGCTTTCTTCTTTAATGCTGTATTCGTTACTCCTCGGTTTTATGGAAAATAAGACTAACGATATGGTAGGCAGCATTCGTAATTACAAACCAGCGGCTGAGAGATGGATAGAGAACAAGCTAAAAAGAAAGTGATTTTTCCTACAATCAAGGGCCATAATTCATGAAGTTACAATTCAATATGTGCAAATATCGAAAGGAACCAAGATCTTTGGGTTATAAACATGCATTTCAAGTTTCATCAAAATCTGATTAAAATTGTAACCTCTACAAGGTCCAGAACCTTGTTATACCATATTTTTACACCTTTTGCGTACAAGCGGCGGCCACTTTGTCCGGCAGTTTTGGTTTGATTTTCAGGAAATTTGAACTCAATCTTTATTATGGTGTTACGGTGATATATTCAAACGATTTTTAAAATCAGATAATAACTGTGACCTTCAGAGGGACCACAAGCTAAAAGAGGCGATTTTTCGTATAATCAGGGGCCATAATTCATGAAGTTATGATCCGATATGCGACAATTTGAAAGGAACCAAGATCTTTAGGTTATAAACATGCATTTCAAGTTTCATCAAAATTGAATTAAAATTGTGACCCATACAGGGTCCACAACCTTGACATATACCTTATTTTTACACTATTTGTGTACAAACAGCGGCCATTTTGTCCGGCAATTTTGGTCCAATTTTCCCCACATACAAACTTAACCTTCCTTAGGGTGTAACAGTGATATAATAATACGTTTTTTTAAATCGGATAAAAATTAGGACCTATATAAGGTCCACAAGCTAAAAATGCGATTTATCTATAATCAGGGGCCATAATTCAGGAAGTTACTATCTGATATGCGACAATATCGAAAGGAACCAAGATCTTTAGGTTATAAACATGCATTTCAAGTTTCATCAAAATCGAATTAAAATTGTGACCCATACAGGGTCCACAACCTTGATTTACCATATTTTTACACTTCGCGTACAAACGGCGGCCATTTTGTCCGGCAATTTTGGTCCGATTTTCCCGAAATTCGAACTCTACCTTCCTTAGGGTGTAACGGTGATATAATAATATGTTTTTTTAAATCAGATAAAAATTATGACCTCTATAGGGTCCACAAGCTAAAAACGCGGTTTTTCGTACAATCAGGGGCCATAATTCAGGAAGTTACAGTCCGATATGCACGAATATCGAAAGGAACTGAGATCTTTGGGTTATAAACTTACAAGTTAAGTTTCAACAAAATCTGATAAAAATTGTGACCTCTATAGGGTCCACAAGCTAAAAACGTGATTATTCGTACAAACAGGGGCCATAATCCATGAAGTTTCGATCTGATACATGCCAATATCGAAAGCAGCCAAGATCTTTTGGGGATAAACCTATATTTCAAGTTTCTTCAAAATCGGACAAGAATTGTGACCTGTAGAGAGTCCACAAACAAATTGTGGACGGACGGACGGACGGACAGGGGCGACGACAATATACGTCCACATGAAAATGTGGGCGTATAAAAATGGCTCGGAAGTCGTGATTTCTGCTGGAGAACTCGGGTAGCTAAAACTATATCGAGTTCACGACATATGATGTAACAAGATGGCAGCCAAAGTTACAAAGTTAAATGTTTTGAACGGTAATTATACTATTTTTGTAGTTAAATGCTTGTTGTGGATGTGCATATTGATCCGAATACATGATTACGTGATTTATAGGATTTTACATATTGGGATACATTTTCTGAACATCGACAATAAACACATTAAACAGAAAACTAGAAAAACATGCGGCTTTCTATTTTGTTTTAACTTGTTATTGTCTGGCAGTTCATGCAGGTTTAAGGACGGTGCGGTCTATATCAACAAAAAGGTTCCAGTAACGTGACCATCTGCTCAAAATTTGCAGTTTTAGGACAGAGAGAGAAAGGGGTTTAACGTCCACTCGACACAAACTAGGTCATTTCGGGACTAACATATGGTTCAATTTTATTTCAAGAATTCGCTTGCGCGTAGGGGTTTTCAGCAGGGGGAGGAAATCAGGGGACTTGGAGAAACCCATGAGGTTGGACAGACGACCCTACTCCTTGTCACGTATTTTTTAGGACAATAGGCCCTTTCTAATTATTCACGGCTCAATTTACGATAAAATGTTCTCAGAATCAGATTGATTATTTAACATTTAATTAAGAAAACAAAAACAATATAGGTCATCAGCGGTATATTTAATATTTTCCTACGTTGAATTCAATTAAAATTAAAAGAGACCCATCAAAAGATTTACCAAGGGTTACACTGGCTTGTTTTTATTGTTTGCATTGGATGCCAAACGCTGATAAATTTTCAATTCATTATATCTTTGTAAATACTGAACAGAGCCGAACCTTCTTTGGGTTGATATTCGTTTAAGCTATTTTATTTTCACAAATTGTGTTTAGCGGTATTAAAAATCCTTGAGAAGGGAGAATGACAGCCATGTTGATTTTCCCACTTGTGCACCCGAACACTACAAGTATGGTATTTACTATTTCCTTGTGGGAAACACCATATTTTCAAGCAGTAACGAATACAGCATATAAAACGGTATTTTATTAAAATTACATTGGCAGTTTATCACTCATAAAAAGGCATAGCCAACTTCCCCGTCTCGTGGGGCATGCATATCAGACCATGTATTATAATGCCCATGATATTATAATGTTGTTACTGTCCCTTGTTGACAGCTATTTCGCGCCAAAATCAACCATTGTAGTAAGCAATGCCTAATATGGTAGGCGAAGAATTCCATGTGACATTAAGATCGTACCACTGTAAATGGGAATTTCTGTATAGAGTCTCAAAAGACTTACTTTCCATACGGTTTTAATAGGCAGCAATTCAGCAGTGTGTTTAGCAGACAGTAAAAGTCAAACATTATATGTAATTGTATAAATATGATGAAACGACTACCGATTTTTCAAAATGTGAATCGGTTTGAGCTAGAAACCGATTAATCGTGACAACCCTAATTTTTATAGCAAATAGAAGAATAAATACCAATAAACATATCTGTTGTTCACTTCTATAGCTAATGGATGCTGAAAGTAATATGAAACAGTATGTTATTACATGATCGAACATAATGAATAATTTCAAATAATAATAACTAGAACTGCGAAGCAGTAATGACGGGTTTCACCGGTGTCCCGTTATCCTTGAACACATGTCACTTCCGGTACCGATGAAACCATTAAACAGGTTTGCATATAAGCATTGCAAACATCAAATAAAATGTACGCAGAATCAACCAAATCCAGCAATATGAATTCATTGTATACATTTGTTACATGTAAGTGATCCTGACAAAATTACATTACTTCCGGTGATAATGAAAATGTTAAATTAGTTTTATGAAATCAGAAATGGCATAAGGCATCACATGGTGAAAATTTTATGTAAATCGAATAATAATTTCCACTTTCATAGACCAAAAACCTTGAACAATGACTTATAGAAAATCAACTATTTCTCTGCAACCCTACAAGTTAGAAACCATTTTTTGGTAACTGTATCCAATCTATTTGTTGATTGGAATGAAATATCATAATTTTAAAAACATTACAAATCAGACTCATTTGAATAAAATATCGGTTTTAAAGGCTAAAAATACAGTTTTTGCCAAAATGACGTTACTTCTGGTGATAAAGAAAATCTTAAATTACTTGAATGAAATCGTAAATGGCATTAGGTATCACAGGGTGAAAATTTTATGAAAATCGAATAATAATTGACATTTTTATGAACCAAAAACCTTGAAAAGTTGCCTGTTGAAAATCGTCTATTTCTCCGCAACTGAACAAGGTAGAAACCATTTTGTGATATCTATATGATCGTATGGGTTCATTCTATTAGTTGATTTGAATCCAATATTAAAATTTTAAACAAATAACAAATACGACTCATTTGAATAAATTATTTGTTTCGAAGGCTATAAATACAGTTTTTGCCCAAATTACGTCATTTCCGGTGACATTGAAAATGTTAAATTGGTTTGACCTTGTTAAAATTGATATCAGCATCAAATGGTGTCACTTTTATGAAAATCCAATAATAATTGACTCTTTTACAGGCAAACTAGCGTAAATAGTGACTCATGCAAAATTGCCCATTTCTCGGCAACTGCTCATATTACAAACTAATTTTCACATACATTCTCTTGGAAAAAAAAAAAAAATAATAATAATAATAAAAATAATAATAAGAATAATTTTAACAAAAAGAATAGTGTTTCACACAAGCTACGCAGTGTGAAACCCTAATAAAATAATCTTTGATAGAAAAATTGGGCTTTCATATAGAAATTCTGTTGAGAACATATTATATATTTATTATATGACAGTATATTAGATTCAAAGTTCTAACATGCTATCGTCTAATTTCTAACTTATATTTGGTGTAATTTCTAAATTAAAGATACATTATGGGAGATTTTAATAGAGAGTTGGCAATTCTTGCTATAACAGTTCAAAAATAGATGATGAAAGAAGAATATATTGAAAATTTCAGTCAAATTACTTTATTCTGAACAAAGTTATCACAATTGTAATTTTTGACTAGAAATAGGAGTCAACTCCCTTTTCACCGTCTCCGAGAATGACCGATCGTTTGATTGACAGGCGTTAACTCCACCTACATAATCTCGATTATCAAGTAACGTTTTCAATGGCTGTGGTACCGTTAGCCTATACGGTTTGGGACGGGGTTGCAATTCAATTCGTATCACATTTATTTTTACTACAAATTAAAAATAAGACTTTTAATATATAGACAAGAAGCGAAAGTTTGAAAGGAATGGACCAAATCAATGAGGCATAAATATAGCCGACTTCTTGTTAGCCTGCGTGTACTCTTGTACTGTAACTGGTAGGCCTACGCAACTCACGAAGCAAATAGGAAACAGTGATCTGATGGGGCTGCAATTCAACTGGGGTAATGTTAGCTGCAGTGTTTATCAATTTCCATAATTTTTCTGTAAACGCAAGTGACAAAAGAGCGTATAATACCGACATCCAAACTCTCATTTTAACCACAACTAAACATAATATCAAGGCCGTATATCGAACTTTCAATCAAATTGACTGACATGCGGCCTCGCTCAACACAGGGTTCCCGTGGCTTCGTCAAACATTTTTTCAAGGATATTCAAGGATAAATATATACGTCAAATTCAAGGATTTTCAAGGACATTGTTTAGCCTAAAGTTACAATTTTTCATCTTAAAAATAACCAAAACATTACCAACTATCGTTATAATCTCATATTTAAAAGGAATTGAAGACATAAACTGTTTTTTTATTATTACAGATCGACTTTCGGCACAATAAGGTCATTTTCGAGGCATTTCTTTTTCTTTTTACAGTCAGTAAGTTCATCTCCAATATATTTTCGTTTTGAATCTACTGTTGACTTAGCATCCTCTTTCTTTTGGTCATCCAGGTATTATCTGTATTTTATTCGAGCTGCACTAGCATATTGAAGGCACTGGGGCGTAATTTGTCCACTCCGCCAATTAAATGTACATGATGCACAATATGCCTTCGATTTATTATAGATTTTCCCCGCATATTTTCCGCTAAAATTTTTGCATTAAAAGAAAACCTGCGTTCTACTCCAGCTTGTTCGTGAGATAAGATCAGCAACATCTTGACAAGTTAGACACATAGTTAATCAAATCATCATATTCAGACTTTATCAAATCACTTGTCGCCTCATCTAATTTTTTGGCTGTTATTAATATTTCAAGGATGTGTTTAAATTGTGTCTTTGCTATATCCGGAAGATTCGCTATCCGTTTAGGATGCAGACACCCTCTAGATTTCTGGCCATGGCATATGTAATAGGTGTTTTTGTCATTAAATGTTTAAAACTATATGTATTAACATATTCTTGCACTGGATTCTACAGTCCAAAACGTCCCTTTCGGATACAACTTTCCCACTAATTAGTTTCCGTAGTTCTCCCTCAGCCTTAATCCCGAGATCGATGTCTTTATACATGATATGATTATCTACTTGTTCAACATCAATTTTAAGTAAATTACTGATATTTGTAGCGGTTTTTAGTAGGACGATTTTACAAAAGGCTTCATCAACTGTTTAATCATTGATTCTATGTGAGTGCACAAAAGTGTTACTAAGGGTCGTTCACTCTGAAATATTTGCAAGAACGGGGTCATTAGGCTTATTACTTACAGTAAGTTACAGTCAGGAAAAAGGCTAATTTAACAAACATAAGTTTATCATTATTAATACCATTGCGCACAACTTCAAATGTTTTACTTTTATATGATTGTGTGGATTTATCTTTTATATATTTTACAACACTTGGCCAAATTTCAATTGCCCAGGTTACCACAGGCTTGTTTTCAAGCCACCGATGACCAAAGAATTTAAGTGGAAAGACTGTTGAATCAGTTAAAGTTGTATAGCCGGACCTTCATGCGGGCGTATCTTTAAATATCCAGTACAGTGATTTGAGAAAATCGCCAACACCCAATCCTGACTTTTCAACAAAATTTTTAAAAGCATTGTGCACTGTATGCAACCCACAGCTACCTATGTTAATCAGAGAGTCTCCGAAATTCGAATTAAGTAATCTAAAAAGTTTCTAATTAACAGTTGGACCATCCATAGAAAGTTGTAAAACTAAAACATTACTTTTGTTAAGCCCGATATCGTCGACACATTTTATTACCAGCGGCTGCCAGGCAGGATATGCCCACATTTTCGAGAGATGAATAGAGAACAAGCTAACAAGAAAGTGATTTTTCCTACTATCAAGGGCCATAATTCAGGAAATTTAAATTCAATATGCGCGAATATTGAAAGGAACTGAGATCTTTGTGTTATAAACTTACATTTCAAGTTTCAACAAAATCGGATAAAAATTGTGACGTCTATAGGGTCCACAACCTTGATATACCGTATTTTTATGCTATTTGAGAACGAATGGCGGCCATTTTGTCTGTCAATTTTGGGCAGATTTTAATGAAATTCAAACTCAGCCGTCCTTAGGGTGTAACGGTGATATAATAATATGGTTTTTTGAATCAGATAAAAATTATGACCTCTATAGGGTCCACAAGCTAAAAACGCGATTTTTCGTACAATCAGGGGCCATAATTCAGGAAGTTACGTACCAAGATCTTTGGGTTATAAACTTACATTTCGAGTTTCAACAAAATCGGATAAAAATTGTGACCTCTATAGGGTCCACAATCTTGATATACCATATTTTTACACTATTTGAGAATGAAGGGCGGCCATTTTGTCTGTCAGTTTTGGGTCGATTTTCACGAAATTCGAACTCAGCCGTCCTTAGGGTGTAACAGTGATATAATAATACGTTTTTTTAAATCGGATAAAAATTATGACCTCTATAGGGTCCAAAAGCTAAAAGCGCGATATTTCGTACAATCAGGGGCCATAATTTAGGAAGTTACGGTACGATATTTCGCGAATATCGAAAGGAACCGAGATCTTTGGGTTATAAACTTACCTTTCAAGTTTCAACAAAATCGGACAAAAATTGTGACTCTATAGGGTCCACAACCTTGATATACCAAGGTGATATAATAATACGTTTTTTTAAATCGGATAAAAATTATGACTTCTATAGGGTCCATAAGCTAAAAACACGATTTTTCGTACAATCAGGGGCCATACTTCAGGAAGTTATGGTCTGATATGCGCGAATATCGAAAGGAACCGAAATCTTTGGGTTATAAACTTATATTTCAAGTTTCAACAAAATCGGATAAAAATTGTGATCTCTATAGGGTCCACAACCTTGATATACCATATTCTTACGCTATTTGAGAACGAACGGCGGCCATTTTGTCTGTCAATTTTGGGCTGATTTTCACGAAATTCGAACTCAGTCGTCCTTAGGGTGTAACGGTGATATAATAATACGGGTTTTTAAATCGGATAAAAATTATGACTTCTATAGGGTCCACACGCTAAAAATGGCATTTTTCATACAATCAGGGGCCATAATTCAGGAAGTTATGGTCCGATATGCGCAAATATCGAAAGGA